TGTGTTGCTCTGTATCTGGATTTCTTCCTGCGAAAGCAGCAGCAGCTCCCCGAACGAAACTGGTGTACGGGGTGGGGGTGCAAGATCGCAATTCCATGCCTATTCCAGCCGAAAAAAGCGCTACAGCCCCTAGCATTCCCCTGCCAGCTGTATTTTCCTTTCTAACCATATGTAAGATTGCAGCCTTAACTAATTAGGGGGAGGGGGCTGTTTCTTAAATTCTGTAGAATTGGGGTAGGCCACCCTTGGTCTGTCCACCTGACTTGTAAAGACGGGAAGGCACAGGCAAGGGCATGCGGATGATCTTAACTTGGCCATGCACAAATGAGAAGTGCTGGCTATATTGTATATTTGTTGTTGGTTGTTGTTGTTGCTAGTCGCGAAGTCGTGTCCAACCCATTGCGACCCCATGGACAACACTCCTCCAGGCCTTCTTGTCCTCCACCGTCCCCCGGAGTCCACTCAAGCTCACGCCGACTGCTTCAGTGACTCCATCCAGCCACCTCAACCTCTGCTGTCCCCTTCTTATAGACACGTGCAAATACCTGTCTGGGATTACGATCTGAATTCCCAGCAGGGTAGGTCTTTGTCTGGATTAGATTCTCAAGTGGAAGTGTGCTTAGCACTGGCCCCTTTAACTTTTTGGATAAAGGAGCCGTGTGAGGCCTCAGTCTGGATCAGGGCCCCATTGAACGGGAATTAATCCCATTCTCCTCACACCGTTTCTCCTCTCTTTAACGTCTACTCTAAACAACTAGCTTGCTCAAAATAGCATTTTCAGGAGCAGTTTTCCACTGTGGGAGGATTCTTGGTGGGGAAAATGCATGGGGAGCAAAGCGGGAACCCCGTTCCTTCACATCGGATTCAGATGTGGCCCCCTCTAACTTTTTTGACAACGGCTTTTTAAAAATACGTGCTTAGAGTATTGTGCATTTGGCCTTTTCTTTCTGAACCAGACGGTGCTGAAAACTCTTGTGGCAAACTGTCTCTGTGGTTCTTCCAGATTGTTGACCTTTATGCAAGACTTCCATAATCCAGTTCTGCCCGCCAACTTCCAAATATTCCTAATCTCTCTGCTTTGAAGTTTACAGCCAGTAGGTTTGCTGAGTTGCATAACTGCCAGTTTACTGTGCACAGTTTTCTTTAAAGCAACAAACTGGTTAGATTACGTTTTAATGTTTAATATTAAAAAATGTTTTACTAAATAAATAAATTATTTTAGGATAAACATGCAGATCCACATTTCAAGCAGAAGACAGTGCATTTCTTCCTGTTACATGCAATAAGCAGAGTTATATGTTGTATTTATAAGGAACAGGGGACGAGTTCACTGGGAGCTACATTTGTATAGTGTAGATTAGCTGGCATTTATATTTCGTGAAAGAAGAAAGCCATTTTAGTCTGATTTCCCAAATAATGTAGACATCATTTGGCAATAGATCCGCTTGAGCTTTTGTAGCAAGATATTAAAGTCAGTGGAGTTTTGCCACTTCCAAATATATAGTGATAACAGATACACATATAAAGGAGAGGTGAACAGTACATTATCCCCTCCCAATCAAACAAAAAGTGTACCGTTCTCTCTAGGTCATAGAATCATAGAATAGTAGAGTTGGAAGGGGCCACGGGGGCCCAACCCCCTGCTGTTGCAGAACACCACATTACACCATCCCATCCAGGTGTGTGAATGCATCTCTTTATGCAGGCAGGGAATTGCCTTTGATACAGAAGTCAACTTCTCATGGCAAGCAGACTCTTCTTAATTCTCCCATATAGTACGTTTTAATCTCTGTGCAATATTTCTGCAAAAATCATAGCTCTTTTTGACATCCCCAAAATGCAATCTCTAAGATGTCTTCAGCCGTAATAAATAACTTCCAAGAATTAAAGCAATAAAAAGGCCAGCTTTTGTATAAAACCCTGAACTTATTTTAATCACTTATCACTTCTAGCATAATAAAATGATAGTCCTTTCCAAAGAAGCTTTTAATTAGGACTTTATGAGCTCAAGTTGTATTAACTGCTGAAGTTCTCAGAAATTTAGTTTCTGCTCTTAAAAGCAGGGTCAGCTTTAAGGTCTCAGGTTATCCATCCTGCAATAAGGGAGAAGTACACTGCCTTTGTTTAAAGGGTTGGATGGTCAAGGGAAAGTGGTAGCAAAACAGAAGCAGGGCCATGGTGTTTCACGCCAAAGGCCTGTCCGGTTCTGCATGTTCTTTGCACAGTAGCCGACTGAGTCCAGCAGGAAGCCCACGGGCAGGAGAGGGGTGCTTTTGTAGCACCTCCGGGCAATATTCCCCAGCAACCAGAGTGGACAGGATAAGGAACAGTGCTTTGGAAGCCGGAGGTAATATGTGGTATGCATTGAGAGCTTTATCCTTCATGAAAAAGAGAATAGTGGATTTGTGTGTGTGTGTCTGTGTGTGTGTGTGCGCGTGCGCACATCTGGCTGGCATGGTGTATTTCATCAGTGGGTTCAAATTCCCGGTCATGAAGTTCACTGGGCAGGGCTGACACAAGACCACCTGCTCGTGAGGGTGAACGGCTGAATGGAGTGCAACACGGGAGCCGCCGTCACCACAAATGGGGACAGGGGATAGCACAAGCTGGCACACAGCGGGAGGTGGGAAGAAGACGGATGTAAACCACAGTCACCTTCACCCCTTGGCTACCTGCCTCCTCTGCCTGCCTCCCCTCAAGCCCTCACTCCAGGGAGTCCTCCATGAGAGAGCAGCTTTGGTGGGGAGGTGGCCCCGGAAACCGCCTGTGGTCAAGCAGCAGAGGCAGTCTCCCAGGCCACCACTCCTCTCTTTACGAAAGACCCCTCCAAGTGAGAGGCCAGGCTGCTCCCTGCCCTATTTTTCAGTCTAAGCTAGGCAGCCGATTGGGCACTCCTGCTGCTGTGAGGCAGCGGCTACCGACCGATGCCTCACTCCGACCGATGCCTCACTCAGGCTGAGGAATATCGTGGGTGGTCGCAGTTGCTCTCCACAATGGCAATAGCTGCTGTCCAATAGCAAGACAGTGGCCAGCAGGACCCTCCAAGTGGCCACCTGTCCTGTGCCTCGGTTTGCACTGGCAGCATCGGGGGCCCACGGCCCTCCCAGCAGCAGGGTGTATGGGAGCCACTGGGCCTCCAGATACTCTGCCTGGGGCAGGAGATTCAGCTCATCTCATGGAAGGCCCAGCCGTGTCACTGACCCACACATTCCCAGTATTTCTCAGCCTCCCCAGACTGTCCCATGCTTCCCAGAGGTTCTTGCAGGCAGAGTGGGGTCTCGATGGGAGAAACACTCTCTCCTCATGCAGCATTTATGAGTCGCAGCAGTACTTACCTGGCACGTTTTCACTTGTGAGCGTCTCTGTGCTGATGGGTCTAAACATCCACATTTATTTTTGTGAGTATGTGTGTGATGTTCCAACAAAGTGCATAACGAATGTTTAAAGTCACGTATAGTTCTACAGGAATATTTTACAGAGTTACTGTTGCTCTAATGTATTTATTATGTTTATATCCCATTGTTCTCCCATTGTGGAACTCAAGGGGACTATGTGCTGGTGTCCCAGACCCATTTGGCTTCAACCTGGTGGATGCCAGAGGTGCCTTCAGGCCATAGTCTGGGCCCAAGCTGCTGCTGTATTGTTGTTGTTGTACGACCTGGAACTCCTGTCACTGTTTTTGCGAAGCGCCCCTGCCCAGATCACTGCTTTGTTTATGCCTGTGGAAACCGGTTGTGGGGACGTGGCAAAGGGTGCTGCTACGCCCATGCCCTGCTTGTGGGACCCTGTGAGCTGCCGGGCAAGCAGATTGCAGCTAGACAGACCCTTGTTCTGATCCAGCAGGGCTCTTCTTGTGCTTTGCAGTTTTATGGCTTCTCTCCTCTCTGGGCAGAACACCATTAACCTTGGTAGATGGGCTTAAGCCAACATTTTCGTTAACAAAAGCTAAGCAGGTTCCATTTGAATTTGGTCACCCACTTCATACAAAAGCCAATCCAGTAGGACTTCACCAATACTGAATGGGCAGGTTGGCTGAGAGAGGCACCATCCCCTGAGCTGGCCTTAACGATTCATCTACAGAATACATTTCTGAGTGTATGGCAACAAAGGGTTAACCTTCATTGAATTATGGAGCTCCACAAAGTTCACTGCAGACCAGCAGTTCCAAGCGGAACTTTCTGTCTTCCAGAAATCAAGGAATCCCTTTTCCAGTTCAGCAAGGCACCTGGAAATAAGTGCCAGCTTAGGCAGTTAGCCCAGTGGCTTGTGCTAACATCTTCCTGGTTGAACAGCAGACCCCGTGCCACACGGCAAACTTCTTCTGCACATCACGTGGGTTTCACGCTGCCTCCCAAAAGACAGTGTGGAGAGGGGGAGTTTGTTCAAGAAGCACAAAATTGGCATAAGACCACAAGAAGAGCCACGCTAGAGCTAACCGATGGTCCGTCTAGTCCAGCGCCCCATCCAGGTGGTGGCAGACTAGCTTTCCACAGGATCTCTCTGACAGGGTGGGTATAAGACCTCTGCCTGCCCAGCGTCGCCAGCAGCTGCTGCATGCAGGCATGCCACTTCTGGTGGAAGGGGTGGCACCCTGCCAGCAAGGCTCGTAGCCACAGATAGCCCCCTCCCCCATGAGTATAAGCACCCTGGCCATATGGTGCTAAGATGGTTTAGGATTGGGATTATAGTAAGCTGTGAGATCTGTGTGGAGCAGTTGTTTTGGCAGAGCTGGCAAGGCAAGGCAAGGCAAGGCAAGGGGCAGGAGCTGGTTGCTGTTCCTTGGAGCTAAGAAAAATGCGCTGTCTGGAACAGGGAGATGTCCTAAAAGACTGAATTCTGCAGGGAGGGCACCTTGAGGGGGTCTAAAGTGTGCAATGGCTTCTAGGCAGGCATTAGACAAACCATCAAGGGGAGCGCATGATTTTCCAAATTATGCTAAAATGAGGGGTATGAAACAGTTCTCAGTTTTTAATGTTTCTTTTCCGGTTCTCCTTTTCCAGCTCTGTTTTGTGATGTTTTGGACCCCTAATGTGTCGGAGAAGATTTTAGTAGACATAATTGGAGTCGACTTCGCCTTTGCAGAGCTCTGTGTCATCCCTCTTCGTATCTTCTCCTTTTTCCCAGTTCCAGGTATGGAGAAAGGGGAGGGAGGGAACAGTCCAGCAAACTGTGCGTTGATCCTAAGTATCCCTGTTGGCTCCTTATCCACTCTGTATGAACACCTGGCCAAGGTCAGGTGGAGACAGGTATGAACAAAGCGATACTGCTGCCAATTGGTGCTTTTCCTACACCTGGTGCAGCCTCACCGAGAAACAACTCTTGGGCCTGGTTAAGACAGACAGGGCAGGAAACTTCCTTTATGGTTCAGCTTGTGGGTGGTGGGTTGCCTCACTGAAAAAGTCCCAGAAAAGGAGGAAGTAGGCCAAAGCTTTTGACTCTGATGTGTATTCTTCTGTATGAGTGGATTTTTAATGAATTACTGTTCATTAAAACAGTACTGTTTGGAATTATTGTCTTATTAGATGTATCTTTGTAAGTTTTCTCAATGGCTCACAAAATTTGAATAAAATATATACTGAAATATAATCCCAGAAGTGAATAATATTTCTGCCAAGAAAGAAAAAGATAAAGCCAATAAATCACACAAGGGCTAAGGAAACTGAAGAAGGCCAGTTTTAAAAGACCTGGGTGACCTTTTGTGGGGGGAGGGACAAATGAGATTAATTGTCCTGTTCAGCATTAGAAGGACATGGGCTTTGTTCATGCCTGTCTTTCGGATTATGACCAGGCATTGCTGTGAATGGGAGGTGGCACCGCCAGTTGCTTACCTAATGTGTGGACACCTCAGAAATGTTATTTGATAAATTACATGGACTATCTGTAACTATTAGTGATACCCCCACTGGGAACTTGCTCATGTAAGCCACGGACCCTGAGCCACAACGTGATATCTAAAGCCGCCAGAAGTTATTTGTTTTCCTGGGCAGCTCCCGAACTGTATCCCGGCTCTCGCTGCCCGTATCTGATCGCTCCTCCTGTGCTCTTCTCACAGTCACGGTGAGGGCACACCTGACAGGGTGGCTGATGACCCTGAAGAAGACCTGCGTGCTGGCGCCCAGCTCTGTTCTGAGGATCATTGTCCTCATCACCAGCCTGATCGTGCTGCCCTACATGGGGTGAGTCACACTTTTTGTCCCGTCCCGTATCGTCTCAGGCCACCACCCACCCGCGGGACAGCGATGCACCGACTGTCCTTGCATGGAAGCACAGCCTTCCTTGTCCACGTGCAATCCCTACAAAGCAGCCTTGCGCTTTGTGAGGGTGGGTTTGAGGGGAGGCAGAGGTTTCGGGGCCCCCATCTCAGAAGTTGACGTGTAAAGGTGACGCAGGGACAAAACCGGTGCATAGGACCTCAGCTGTGTACCGTAATCTACCTGGGCTACAGTAAGGCTGCAATTTCTGCCTGACACAAATGCGGCCACTCGCGTCCCCAGATGAGCCACCTGCCCCCACAGCTCCCTCTCCTTTCATGGCCCCGCTTGCCCAGGTCTTGAGTAAGTATGAGGCAACCTCTCACTGTCACGGCCATGTGGCTCACAATCCGCGCTCTGTGACACCACAGGGCACAGGGAGGGCATGGCCACAGGTGACCAAGCAGTTCAGCTTGCACTGCACAGCATTAGTTTACAATGCTAAGAACATCTGGCCTTTATCATGTTAATACTCTTTACGTAGCAGCACATGAGGGCTAAGGTTTATGTATGGGCACAGGAAAGAGAGGATCAAAGAGCAGTTGTGTGTTTTTTTCCCCCTTCTGATGTTGTAGAGTCCATGGAGCTACCCTGGGAGTAGGATCTCTTCTAGCAGGCTTTGTAGGGGAATCAACTATGGTTGCGATTGCAGCGTGTTACGTCTATCAAAAACAGGTAAGAAACAGTATTTATAAAGAGATCGGTGTGTGTGTGGAGAAACGCACTGGGTATTGGAGATAAGGCTTGCATTCCAACGTTGTTAATGTGAATTCTGCTTGAAACTTGGTTGCTGGTGTTTTTGTTTGCTTGCTTGCTTGCTTGCTTGCTTGCTTGCTCGTATTGGGGAAGTGTAGATGCAGAAGATTTTTCCATATAGTAATCCCCTGGCATGTAAAAGAAGTAAGTTGCCATCAGGAAGAAGGGATTTCTTTTTTAGTCTGGCCTTCTCCCCGACATTTGTTTGTGGAACTGGAGCATTCTAATCAGTCGTGTGAGGGTCAGACAGCACATGAAGTTCATCACATCCGTGTGCCCCCGACAGTTTGTCTGCTTGCCTAAAGCAGCTCCCAGTTTCCTTCATCTCTTCCCCCACTGAGCCAAACACAGCAAGGTGATCTGGAAACAGGAAGCTGGCGTAGATGAATGCATCTAGATTGCCAGGGAGGAGGCCGTCTCATGCAAAAGACGACGGGGGGAGCTCACACAACACGATGTGTGGGCTGATTGTGGAATGATGCAGCTCAGAAGAGGCTTCCTAGTCCAGCGAGATTAGGTCTGAGCATTTCTGGAGTGTTTCATCAGCTTGCTTTAAGGAGATCCAGGAGGACTGCGGGCCGTCTCCCACAATGCTCTGTTTTTCAACCTAGAAAAAGAAGAGGAATGACAACGAGACGGCAGCAGAAGGGGAAGACTCCGCAATGACTGACATCCCTCAGACAGAGGAAATGACGGACATCGTAGAAATGAGAGAAGAGAATAACTAACAAGCGGGAGATGACTGCTGCAGGGACAACTGAAAGCAAATTTCTTCTCTCATACCTTCTTGTTTATTTTTAATAAAGAGGCCTTGATTCCAAAGGTTTCAGGTAATGAATTCCCTAGCATACTAAGTATGCTGGCCCGGATCAGCAGCTTAAGGAACACTCTCTGCTTTTTGTTTTTCTTCCACTGAATTTCTTCTCTCACTCCAAACTTGGAAGATGTGGCTGCTACACAGCAGAGGGACCCTCCAGTCTCCGGACAATCTCCATGGGTCAACCCAAAGTCCTCTGTTTATTCATGGATTCTTCTGCCGTCCTTTCACCTCCTCCATTGCTCCCCCACCCACCTACTCCAACACACACACACACACACACAAGTTCCTTTTTTATTATTATTATTAATGAAAGATTAAAAATGCAACATTTGAAAAAAAAACAACATTAGCTTTATTTTATGTGCTTGAAAACTACTTGGTTCAGTTGACCTGTCTCATGAAGGATTCCTGAGTTTCGCCTTTCTTGTTCATTCAGTGTAATGTATTGTGTACAAAAGAAAAAACTGAGACAGTGGTCAAGAAAGAGTAAATGTGGAATATATTAAATAGACCATGATAAATCCAGAACAAGACTTCTGTTTAGCTTGCTTATGTCCCCCAAGAGATAAAATAGTCTTCTCTCTATTTTCTGGTGGGTCAACTGTGAACTGTTATCTGTACTACACTAACCTTACAACTATTTTCTGAACCAGTGGTGGATATTTAAATTAGAAGCTTTATAAAGAATACTAGTGTCCAGTGTAAACCCTTTCTTTGATAGGCTTTTGTTGCCATGTTCAGTGCTGTGTAGGATACTGTGGTTGAGTTGTGATGGAAACAGTTGTTTCCAGGGTTGTATCATGACAAAAAAAAACCTGATACTGAAACCAAAGTTCTAATCAATTTTTAAAAAACAAATATAGCTGTTTGTATCATCTGTTCTACGAGATACATGCCAATGTGCAGAGAATAGCATGGTATATTCCTTTAACGTAGATAACTCCATGCAGGGTATGTCGCTTCAACATTTTGCCAACACAGAATGCTCTGTCCACGCCTACACTGGACGATGGTTGCCCAGAAGCAAGTACCACGCAGTGCTGCAGGAGGGGCTCTCTGTCACGAAAGGGACTCCTGGTCCATCCAGCTGGGCTGGCTGCGGCCGCTCGGCCTCACCTTGTGTCTGGATGCACCTGTGCACCATCACTTGATGCCACAGTCTGCTTGCCCAGGACTTCAGCGCTCACTGATTTCCCGGGTAGATACCCCGCAGGGACAAGCACCAACCAGGACACTGGCAAAGCAGCTTCCTGCGGATGACGCGGACATGCGGTGCTCTGTCCTGCTTTCCTGACTCTGTGCTGCAGTGCTGAATTGGGAGTACCAGCATTTTCCATGCAGGCGCGTGGACCCCCAGAGCCCATGTAGAAGCTTAATTTGACCATGCGCTATGACCTCATCTTGATCATAAGAGGAAGTGTCTTGAAAGGAAACATTGCAAGGTTTCGTTAGCCAGAATATATTTTTCTACAAGCTTTAGAACAGTGAGATAATTTTATTTAATTTTGCACAAAGCTATTTTCTAGATTTTGGGAGCAGATAGCTTAGATCAGATGAAATCTTTAAAATTGCAATCCTATATCAATATATGTGTGTATATACATGTGAATGTGTATAAATATATATATTGTACATTACGTGTAATTTATTTTAGGCTGCAATATGTTTCTTTCTATTCCAAAGCTGAGTAAAAACGAACGAATTTCTAATACGAAAAACGTTTGCTTGGGTGCCGAAACATAGCTACAAAGAAGTGGACTGTACTGGCCAGTGTGGCAGCTCTGCAAGGATAGTGCCATGTTTTGCACAAATGCTGATGGAATATGGTGTGTGTGGGGGTGGGGGGGTGGGGTGTATTTTCGTAACCAGTGAGGATTGTGCGAACCCATTTAGGATGGGGATCAGCAAGAGCAGTTTGCAGGGCTCAATGTGGCCTTTGGTGGAAGAAAAAAGCCCCTCAGTTGCCAACCCAAAAGGCAAGAGAGGTGTGTGTGTGTGTGTGTGTGTGTAGGCAACAATGGTTGTAACAGTGGATTTTGCCAGCAACCTACTGCAGGAGGTATGAGGGAGCCTTGGCTCTCTTCATATTCCTTCTGAGTGGCTCTCAGCTAAAACAGGCAGCTGATAAATGACAACGGCAGCAAAGGAAGATGTCATGGATTCAGACAGAAGGCTCTTTCTGTTCCTTAAAGAAATATACTGGATGAAATCAATACTGGGTAATTTACAGTGTGTGTACACATACATGTGGTCATGTATGTATTATATATCCTTTTCTCTGTGTGTCTGAGCACATGTGCAAACTCACATGTTGACAAATGTTGCTAATTTTTCAGCACTATGGCAATATTGATTTCTCTAGCATGGTCAAACTCTTTATTTCCATTTCTTTTGAAATAAATTGAGAAGAGTCACTTTCTCATGATGTTCATTTTGGTATGTCATTAGAAATGTATGCTGTAATTCTTTTGGGTTTAAAACAGGAAAAACTGGAAGATATATTCACTAGCTGGATGTTTGGCTAAGGAAGCAACTTGGTGATGCGGCTGGCTGAAATGATGAAATACTGTTTTTGTGTCTTGTCCATGTGAATGTGATTCAGACATGTTCTTGTTTAAGAAAAAAGGTGCTTGAATTCCAGGGGAAGAGAAGCTTCATTTTTGAAGATAATGAACAGTGACCAAGCTGCATCAGACACTGGCAAGTCTTGTTGAATTTGCTCCATTTGTGCTGAACTAGCTATAGCTTGCAAATACAGGATGCTAATTCTGCTTTTCAGTGATACAGACATTTTGTAGCCAAATACTGGCTGACTAGAAGGCTTCTCCCTGTTTCTGAACCCAGAAACAGTATTTGTAAAGTATCCATGAAGTTGCTACAGCTCAAGCAAGAGTCATTTAAGTATGCACTTCACCTATTTATGTATGCAGGCATATTTGGGATCAAGGCCCTAATTTGTACCTTCACAGCTATATACATTTCTGTAATATAGAGAATAATATATAGTACCTGCTCATATAAAGATACAATTGACTTCTGGATTATTTTGTCTTTGAAAGACTAATTTAATTCTAGTAGGCCCAGCAGCTCCTCTGCAAGGCTTGCCTTGAAGTGATGTTCAGACATTAAAAATAGATCAGGATGGTTAGTTTGCTGCACCTTGATGGGTCAGATGCTTAAGGCACGCAGGTAGTTTTCCTCTGCTCCTTCAATATGCAAATACTGTACAAATATGCAATATGCAGAGGCACAAAAGCCCTAAAGATTGATCAATATTTGTGGCTTTGTAAGATAATATTTTTTCTTTAATGAGCTTCTAGATGGCTTGATAGGCAAAGAAGAATCTGTCTATTTTTGCAGCCTTCTGACTTTGCCCCAATTAATGGCCTTGACTAGGAAAGGGACCAGAAATTCTTCAAGAGGTTCTCCCTCCCTCTCTCTCTCTCACACACACACACAGAGAGAGTGAGAGAGAACGCTAAAGCCAAGAGGATTTATGTAAACGGGTGAGAGAATTAGTTGAGGCTTTTCAGGGTGACGCATGCTCGCTCAGAAATAAGGATTCTTGTACTGAGAACCACTTCACTGTGGAGGTCTTTAAACAAGCGTGTGAAGTTGAGATGCTGCATCCAGAAAAGTTTTGGTCCAGGAAACAAAACTCTGGTGGCTTGGTTGCAGCACCTTAGTGGATCCATGCAGGGCAGTTCTTTTGGATCCCAGTGCTTTGTGGAAGCTCCTTCCCAGGCAGAGGGCTACTCCGTAGGCCCATGCTTCTGCCTGTCATCCTTTACAGACTCACTGTCCAGCGCAAGAGAGTGAGTGTTGTACAGTAGTAAGGGCATCCTGGTGGGGACCTGGCAGCTCTGGCTCCAGTCATGGGTCCAGATGGGTAACTGGGCCAGCCACTGTCTCTCAGCCCAACCTGCCTCACAGGTTGGTTGGAGTGAGTAAAATGCAGCTACGAGAGCTGCCTTGGGTTCTTTACAGGGGGAAAGGGCAGGATATAAGCACAACATCATAATAATAGAATTGGTAACAAACAGGACCCTGGGTTCTATGATCATGTCAGCAGGCAGATTCCCCAGTGCGAAACACTGACGTGGGAGTTCCTGTTTGCTTTCAAGCTGTTGGTCTGCTTTATCCAAAACATGCATGTGCTTTTACGGAAGTCTTAGGGTAAGTGCCCTAAAGCAGCTCAAATCCAACCCGTCTGCACTGCAGGATTGGTCGGCTTTACTTTCCAGACAAATGTAGAACCTAAAGGAAATTATCATTTTAGTGATTCACAGGCAAAAAAGAAATGACGACTACATTTGCTGCCAGTTAAAGCTAAATAATACCTTGTTAAAAAGCCCTTCTTGAATGGAAATCTGGACTAATCCTAATTAGGAGTTATCCATTTCAAACTCTGAACAATGGAGGGTTTTTTCCCTCGCTGCTTTAAGCATTTAGAGGGGGCATTTATTTAAAACCCTGGAATAAAAGGAAGATATTTTGTAATTTGAAAGCAGAAATTATGTCATGCAGTAAGCAACCATAGATTTGCTGATGATGGTCAGTAAATATGTGTGTGGGGTGTGGACAGGTGGCACGAATTCATCAGAGATTTTAGTCAGAAACAGTGTTGAATGCTAGAATATTAGGCAGGGGAAAGACCTGTTGCAAAGACAGTCATTTGGTTCCATAGAAAGATTCCCTAGCAAAGGAGAAGATAATTGATTTAATAGTATTTTTGTAGTGTTTTCCCATGTTACAGGTTTTAACATCTTAATTTCCCTCCAACTTCAATTTGCTAGTGGCTTCCCTACCATTGGTATTTCTTAGTGCAGTTTCAAAACCAGAGTGTGCTGAACATTTGTTAAGGCTTTATTATGCTACTACTTAACCCTTTCCCTGAAGGGGGCCATTCCTTTATATGCATTCTGGGGAAAGTATGGGATTATTCAACAAGAGAATGGCTTCTGTGGGGTTGCATATAAATCAAGGACACCAGAAGCCTTAAATTTGCAAGTCCTCTTCATCCAGATTCTTGCAGTGAAGACTTGCCCCAGTCTTGCTTCCCCCCCCCCCCCCACACACACACACCCTCCCGGGGGTTTTTCCTTTCTCCACCTTTCTGTATGCTCCATTACATGCCAGGAGATGGCATTGCAGTATAGCAGAATTGCGCAAATGCATGAGGTCATCATTCCAGGCTGTTTCCCAAGAAATGAACTCTTTCCTTGACCAAAAAAATGCCATGGAGATGGTTGCAAAGGATGGAAGACGCCCTGGAGGACAGTAATGTTGTATAAGCACCTGCGAAGTACCATTGAGTGAGGAATCGCAATGCAGAAAAAAGTGCCAGGCCCAGTGTAGTAGTGGTCAAGTAGTTCCGTGTTTCATTTCAGCATGGCATCAGGATGATTCTACGCCACATTTCAGAACAAAATTGCAATCTGGAAGTGTGCTAATTCAAGTTGATTTAATTATTTAATGAGATTTAATTGAGTGAACTACTGCAACCACAACTGTGGTATGGCTCAGATTGCTGTTCCACGCGGGAGCAAATGGTTAGCAACAGCAAGATGTATCGATCATCTTCAGTGGTGTACACAGCAAGCGCACAAAGACCCAGGAAAGCTCACTGTCACTGCAAAGCAGCTGCTGAATCACCAAAGCAAACACTCTGGTATCCATTAATTTTCAACTTGCTTAGGACCGCCTTTGTCCCTTTTCTTGCTGCTCACAAAAAGAAGGAACAAATGGAATCTGCAGCAAAATTTGCAGTGTATCTTCCCTCCTAAATGAAGTGCTTTAATTCATGGCTCATTAAAAAGTGAATGCCCTTCTAGAATGGGGCCACCCTATTTGGACACTGCTGTTACAGGGAGGTGAACTGCACATGCATAATGACCCCAGTAATCACTCCCATTTTATGGTCTTCTGGGTCAGAGTTTAACTACACCATAAGCCAGCCATATGTGTTTTTCAAACATGCCCATTAGTCAAAGTGCATGCAAAATTAATGCGGGCATTTTCGGGGGAATTGGCACATCGGAAAAGAACTGTTACGTTTTCCTGCCCTGTCTCTTTTTGGCCATTTTCTCCTGCGGTGCAGGGTGAGCAGTGAAACAATGGCTTGAGACATCCGTGGGGAAGGTTTGAGAGGGGAGATGGTTATTCGCCCCTCCAACTACACGTGCTTGCTTCCTGCAGAGATTTATTTAGAAGGAAAACACTGGTTTGGGTCCTTCATATTTCCTGGGTAATATATAGCTCTGTCCTTGGACATGCAGTTCAGTTCCCGAATGCTCCCCTGATGCTCTTTCATGAAACCTTCATGAAAGTGGGAGCTTAAGAACCTGGAAGACTTTTGGAAGAAAAAAACTATCCTCACACACCCCCTCCTTGCCAAGGATGAGAGTATATTACTGAGGTAGAAATTAGAGCACGTGGCTGAGGATTAAAGAATGGAGCTCATTTTCCACAACTATGAACCTCGGCATTTGTCTGAACAGTGAAATATGTGCACAGGGTAGAAGAGGCAAAAGCCAGAATTGCACAAATGCATGATAGTTTCAAAATGATTTTCCTATTGTATAACTCAGCATTTATTGATAAGATTGGTTATTTCTTGTTATTTATTAGTTCTTGTCTCACTTCCAGAAAGTGTCCTGTAAAATGTTTCTGCTTTTGATGGCTTTTCTTATGACAGAAAATAAAAATTAAAAATAAGTGGTAGCTTTTACATTGTCATCCAAACATCAAGGTGTGCAATGATTAAAAGCGTTTAAGTATCTTCTCTTTGCATACTCGGGTTTTCTATTTCTAACTTTCTAGTCTTTAGTGCTAGGTTTGGAAACCAAAAGTGACTTCTATCATAAAGCCCTAAAAACCAGTCGAAGCCGACAGCTTTCCTTCTGGTGACCATAAATGGAACCTCTACTTTTTGCAAGCTATCCAGTCATCACAGCAGCTCAATTACACATAAGCTGCCTGGCAGGGAAAGAGAGACACATCTTTGCCGCTTCACACCTTTTTTCAGGTAAACTCTGATGCTGGGCATCCTTGTTCCTCTGCTACCTGATAGCCATTTCCTGTGCACCAAGTCACCCATGAACAGTGACGCCTGTCTATTAAATCCACCACAGTTTAAACTGAAATGCATGATGTTCTCACTGGAACACTGAGCATCCTCTGCCTTTGCCTTAGATTTAGTGAATCATGTATGGTTTCCAGTTCCTTTCATATCTGCTTTTATACAGGAAAGCCAATATAATTCAATCGCGTGATGATTTTACAGGGACAAACTGTAACGACCATTTATTTTCTTGGAGGTTTGAATAGACTAAATCAGCAAAGGGGGGAATGGAAATATTTTCATAGATATTGTAGATATGAAAAAATGAGCACTAAGCAAATGAAAACTGCA